TTAACCATTTACACAAGAAAAAAAATATATCAAGCAAATTTTAGAGTTCCAAAATAGAAAAATAAAAATTGAACAAATTGCATCATAGGATCATTTAAACCAATAGGTCTTTCCCGTTTGAGATTGAATTAATTCTTCTCCTATAGGATGTTTGATTAAATTTACAAGAATAATATTATATGTACCAATTAATGTACTAACTAGTATACTAACAGATGATGTGACATAATTTTAGAAGTTTTGATTATTTGTAATTTGTATAATATAGGTGGAATCAGTAATAATGTGTACATTAATTAATACATGTAGTACCACCGAATTTACAATCTAATCTTACAATCCAACAAACAACAATCATTCAAATTCTAGAAATTTCAAATAAAATCAACGGACAATTGATGTAAAATTTAGAATGATACAAAATCTGAAAACATTTAGAGAGAAGATAAGAAAGTTCCATTTCAGAATGCTGAATTGGATTGGGAAGAATTTTGGTAATGTGAAATTCATTACTTTGATCCCTCCACTAATAAAAATAATTTTGTTTTTGGGTTTGATATTAAGCGTTAGGTGGTGTTTGATAAAGTTGAAAATTGAAAATTAAGTATTGAAAATTGAATGTTGAATTTTTTAAGCTGAAAAAGTTGTTTAATAAAAATTTAAGTACTGAATTAAAAATTAATTGTTTGGTATAAGATTAACTTTGAAATTTATTATTTTCAAATTGTATATTTTAATTTTTATATTGTGATGGCATGATGGTAGTGGGGGTGGTAACGGTGATGGTGGTGGGGATAGCTGTAGTGATGATAATGATAACAAAATGATGGTAGTGCTTATGGAAACATTGTCAATGATGATGAAGGTGGGGATAGTAGTGGTGGTGGTGATAGTAGCAGTAGCAGCAGTAGCAATGGTGGTAGTGGCATGATGGTGGTAATAGTAGTAGTGGTGGCATGGTGGTAGTGGCGGTGGCGGTGGCGGTGGCGGTGAGTTTATAATAGTGTATATCAATGTTTATGTTTAATGGTTATAAATTAAGTCAAAATTCAATAAGTTTTATATGATTTAAAATTTTCTTAAGTTTTAGCCTACATTTGAAGATGCACTTAAATTTTTAAATAATACCAATTATGATTATCAAATAGACTAAATTGATTATCACTTAATACATTTAGTTTTAAAAGTTGAATCAGATTATCAAACACTCTCTTAATTGACCTTTTGGTAACTTAAAATCAAAATTAAGATTCTTTACTAATAAAAGAAGTTTTGTTTTTGGATTTGGTGCTAAGGGCTGGAATTAAGTTGCTTTCAGTAGGTTAAATCAAAATAATTGGAGCCTTTCATTTACTTGTGGTCTAACAAAAAAAAATTATTTTCAATCTTAGTATAAGCATTGTTCCTAAATAGGGGGGAAATTCTATTTCCACCACCCTAATAAACTCAAGGCAAATCTTTTCTCAATACACATATCTGTTAATTTAATTATTAAGTAATTATCTCAATTTACATCCTTAAAATTGCAAATAAATCCTTCACTCATATGTACACACACTTTAATTTACCCCAATTTACATTTCTACTTCAAACAGGAGGGAAGAAGAAGAAGTTCAAACAGGAAACCAAAAAAAATAAAAAAATCTGCACTTTCCTCACCTCCATTGAAGATTTCAAGAGCTCCATTGAATATCTACTAAACACTATTGAAAACCTTGTTTAAGGTAAGAAATCTTTCAATTTTATTATTACATTTATCATTTTGTTATTAGATTGACAATTTTCGGATCTCTCTTCACTCCATTCGCATGAAAGTATGTTTTTTCTGTGGCTGGAAGTGCTGTGTACATCTCAGCACTGGCTTTCCGAATATGTGTGTTTCATTCAGCACTTGATTTCCGAATATTATGTATAATTTCGTCCAATAAATTTCGAAAAAAATACATAACTTCATAGTTTGACTTCCGAATCTATTCTATATTTTCGGTGACCTTATGCCAAATAAATACAATAATTTTGGCACTTAATTGTTGAAATATTTTTGTAAGTTCGGTCCTGAAGTGCCGAATGGGGTTTTTTTTTTTTTTATATAGAACCAGGTTACATAGGCCACCAATATTTGTTTTACTTTAGGTTCTTTTCCAACAATTTTATTTTACGGGTATGTTTATGTATTTATTTTTTTTCCCCAAATTGAATGCATAACAATAGAAACAAAAAACTATGCAGTATTGCTATTTTCACATGATATTGTTAGCTTAGTAGTTGGGTCTTCATAAATTTTGTTAGCTAAATAGCTTAACAAAACAATTGCATTATATAGAGTATTAAAAGCTTGAGTTAATTTCACATCATCCAAATTGTGAATTTAATGGTCTATAACTGCGTATTAGATTTCATTAAGGTGGCATGGTTAGGCTACTTATTACCCACATTGATGTGATCCTTTTATGGGAGTGCTTATTATGTTTCATTATATTGGGTTGATAAGAACAACTTTTCTTATCTAGATGGATGTCGGTCCTAGTGAACGTTGGTCAGTAACAGCTTCGAACAGAAGACTCTGTGAATTAGACGTGGACGTGGACGTGCTCGAGTGCATGATGATGACATGCACATTGCCATGGATGATGATCCTATACATGGTGCACCAGTTATGGATGATATTGCTATGGATGATGACCCTACTGGTGATGATGCTGACACACTCAGCCATTTCCGGGAGGTCCAACTGATCCATCAATCCTTAAAATTTTTAAAAGTCATGTTGCCGCAGCTATTTGGAATGGTGCTAATGAAAGGGGGCCCTTAAAGTGTCATAATCACTCATCTAAGATTTGTTCGTGGCCGTGGTGGGAACAAGGAAACAATGCTACATTTGTAAACACTGTGGAGATGTCAGGACTTGCACAATTAGCTCGTTGTGCGTACCGCTTTGTCAATAAAATTGTAGTGTCTAGTTTTGTTGAGAGGTGGCAACCGGAGACAAACACCTTTCATTTGACTGTTGGAGAGATGACTATCACATTGGACGATGTCGCCACTATCCTAGGGCTTCCCATTGTAGGCAAATCTATTAGCGTGCGTAAGTTGTCAGAAAGGCGGGCTATTACATTAGTAGTTAATACCTTGGAAATTGATGAGCAAGAAGTCAGACATGAGATGTCTACTGCTGGAGGCAATTTAGTAAGGCTTGAGTGGTTGAGGGCACACTTTCATAATGTCACAGACAATGATTCAATGGAAAGAATTGCATGTGCAGGTAGAGCATACTTGCTATTTTTGTTGGGTTGTACACTTTTCAGTGACAAGACTTGTACTAGGGTCCCCGTTGTTTATTTGAGTTTGTTGTCCGATTTGACGACTGTATCTTCATATGCTTGGGGTGCTGCTGCATTGGCATACTTATATAGATAGTTGGGGTACGCTAGCAGGTCCGGCATGAAACAAATAACTGGTTATATGACACTCCTTGAGGGATGGATTTATGAGCACTTTCGTGGATTCCGACCACACTTGAATATGAATTCCACTCAAGACATGCCACATGTTTACCGTTGGACTTCTCGGAGAGAGTGTGGTGAAGAGACACAGTTGTAGGCTTTTCGAGAGGAGCTTGATAGGTTGGGTGTACATGATGTAAGTTGAAAAGTCCTTCAAAATTTGAAACTCTATATCATACAAAATTTACAGTTGTCATATCTTACAGTTTTTATTGTTTGTAGGTTATTTGGGACCCGCACCAGAGTTGCAGAGATGTCCATCCATGTCCTCCAGTTACGTTCTACCACGGTTGCCTAAAGTGTTTGGAAGTAGTTGAACCATATCACCCTGATAGAGTGTTAAGACAGTTTGATAGAGTGCAGACAATCCCTAATCCACCACTTAGCCCTATGCGTGCTTCTCGAGGAGCCATAGCTCCACGCTACAATGTTATGTATGCATACTTGGACATCATTTGGGAGGCATGGGACAACCACGTGTTATCTGATCCGAGGAGGAGTACATCAGTACGACAACCTTAGGATTGTGTTCCTGGTTACATGGATTGGTACCAAACCATTACCCATATGTACGTACAAAACCCAGCGCGTCGTTCTCAAGTGGATCCGAATATCCATCATTATCAGTATCCTAGCCAAGGCGCATAGGTATCCTTTTTTTCATTTAGATTGCAAATTATTTATGTAAACTGTTACAAGTTTGTACATAATGTTATATTTGTTCTCGTAATGCAGCGTATGTCACAGATACATCAGATTACTCATCCTTTCATTGAGACTGGCTATGAGGACAATGTTCAACATCCTGATAGGCTTTACTACGCGACTGATGCAATCGAACAACTTCTTCAAGATCAGCACATTAGTGAAGCTGCGCCCAACACATCCACTCAGGGTCGGTCTGCACCCAACTCTTCCACTGCACATCGTTTTGGAGCACATTACACTTGCCGGTCACGTAGTTAATAGTATTTCATAATGCTAGCACAAGTAGCTTCTGATGATGTTGGTAGATGTATAAGGAGACAAATATTATTATTATCTTCGAATTATGTATCTTTTGGATTATGTACAAGCACACATGTCGTTTGTGATGGTGTGGATGGATTGAACTACTATTTAGTATATATATATTTTATTTACTTACTTGTTGAATCTTATTACTTTTTAACAGCAATTGCACTTGGTTAATATTATTTTCATTACGTTTTGTGTTCAGACAATGTGAAAATAATATGACATCCATTCCATAAATTAGAGAACTATAACGCATATAATCTTTTATTTTTTAAACAAAACTGACCATTACAAAATCCAATGGCAAAATGCTATCTACCTCGTTACTTTATACTAGTAAATCATAAAAACTAATGTCTTAACGCTCTCATTACTACTCTGTAATACCTCAATCTATGTCAACTACATCAAATGTCTCTTGAGTACATTAGGTCCTATATTGTCTTTGAATTTTTGAACGCGACTAACATATGCATTCTCTCATTCTGAAGCACAAGGGTGATGGTGAACTCGCCAAAGCACGGCAATGGGAGGAACTGGATGACCGGCTTCCAAAAACACCTGCACGTACATCCAAAAAATTACTTATCTTTACCAAATACATAAAATTTGCAATTACACAAATATTAGACAACAATGTTCGGCTATTTTCATAACTTATACCTGCACAAAATGATTTTCATTGACAAATCCAATGGCAATCTCGCGACGATCAACTAGGGTTATTGACGGTGATCTCAAAGATAAGAAAGTGAGATATTGTTGCAATGACAAGTGGTACAAGACTACATTATAAAATGATGCAATAAGATGCCCCATGTCAGGCATAGTCATCCAACGATCAAAGCCTGGGCTATTTTCAAAATATGAAAGGATGTGTGTCAGCTCCTTAACCCTCTCATGCGACCCATATAGTACGACGTATTCATCTCTGTGATTATTCAATTCAAGTAGCAGATCACGCCTAACTTGCACCCGGTCATTCTCTCCAAGACCAAGTAAACCTACAATAGCTTTAAATCCACAATTCCCATCACCATCTACATCCTTCATCAACTTTATGAATGGTATTAACGTAGGTGGAAAGTCAGCAGCATATGCACTCAGTAAACTTGTTCTTGTACGATATGTCTTTGTCTTCACATTCCGCTTATTCTCATGCACTTTTGAAGCTCTCTTTTTCTTTGACTGACTGGAAGCTAATGTGCTCTGGCTATCATGCTCATCATCAACCAACTCAAATGCACACGGGTCACGACGACAAGATATATCAATTTTCTTATGTCCTCGACGTGGATTAGGTTTCACATCGGGCTCAATAAGAAAAGTGCTCGCTGGATTTTCAATTTCCCTCAACTCCTTCAACACATCCAATTGCGTGGCAAATCAGACTCTTCAAACCGCTTTAAAATCAACTCAAGTTTTGGGATACAAGTCAATTCCAACTTCTGTTCCTTCGGATTATGCACACATATAGTAAGGCACGTCCAATGTACATGTATGCTACTGAGTGGAATAAGACGGCCTTGTCTCGTGTAATCTGCAATCTCGTGAGCACAAGGTAAACCATGTGTGTGCCTAAAAACACACCCACATGTTATAACATCAATTCCAACTGAATTTGCTCTCTTACTCTCTGCTAACACGTACTCCAATGCACAAATAGACACATTACCCCGGAGCTCTCTGAATTGAGAAGGTTTGAATTGATGTTGTACAGTTGTCAAACTCTTCTCGAATGATGCTTTAACTTGAATGTCCTGCAACTCAAGTAGACAACGTATTTTTTCAAATGAAACCTCAAATGTCGTTTGACTTGAACCTAATTGCCTCTTCAATCTAGCATGAGCACTCTCAACCCTGTTCATATGGATGTAAACCAAAATAGTCAAGCATAATAATTAAAAATAACAATATGATTTATAATAAATTAAAAAAAAAAGAAAAAAATCTGACTGATTGGTTGTAACATTGCCAAAATGCATACACATGCCTGTATGTACCGCAATGAATTTTTCTTGATACCGATTCAACCAACTCACAGTAACATATTTGATTGCCTCCAGATAGTTACTGAAATCCTTATGTAGTGTTGCAAGGTGATCATTGTATTCCTCTTCAGTCAATGACAATATCAAATAGTTCCATGCAGTGTTAAACTTGTCCCATTTTTCTTTTGTCTCAAACATTTTCTTGCATTTTGTCAATACATTCTTATTAATATGCCAACAACATAACAAATGTCGAGCATTCGAAAAGGTGTTGTCAATGGCATTCATCAAAGCAAGCTCTCTGTCTATGACAATGACTTTAGGTAAAACACTGTCGTCCATAAGATCATGCAATGTTTGTAACGCCCATGCATAATTATCAACCCGCTTAGTTTGCAAGTATGCGATAGCCACGGAGAATGTCATATGAGTTGATGTTACTCCTACAATTTCAAGAAGAGGAAGCCGATATCTATTCGTCTTATATGTGCAATCCATAATCAACACACGAGGGAATGTACGAAGCAAATCCAAACTCACTGGATGTGCCCAAAACAAGTCTGTGACAGTCATAGAACCTTCCTCACATCGATGACGCTCAATGTATTTATGTTTCGCTAATTCACCTAGTAGTTGTTGCACCTAGGATCTACCAGCTTTCTATAGAACCCTACATCGATGTCGTACATTCATTGTGCTCATATTAAGGGCATCCATCTGTTTGAGTGTAATGAGTATCTCTTTTGGTCTTACTAGGCTCTTTGACATATCAACTAACTGTGACTTTTCATTAGCTGACAATCTCCCTACATATGAATGTCCTTGGAGATGCTCCGCAGCTGGATGATTGTGCAGCTCGCAAACTACATTCAATGTCAATTCATCGTTTTGTTTTCAACTTGAATGCCCTCAAATCAAATGGACATTCGCACTTCTTCGTACCAGTTTGTCTCAATAAGTCTTTTGGGCCATCTTTCAACATTTTACGCAATCTATACTTCCCACTCCGCTCACAAGCAAGATAATTCTTGGTCTCTTACGACCGTCACCATAGTTCGACGTCCTTATAATAATAACAAAGCCATTTATCCTTCCAATGTCTCGTACCCAAGTGAGCAATTCATCTTTGTTGTCAAAAACCTATATATGATGTCACATAACTTTCATAATAACAAACTAAACAAACTAACTAATACAAATTTATGAATTTACAAATTTTATGTTAAAAATTACCTGTTTAGCTGTAAAATGGCTAGTACAATCCACCATAATATCCGATCAAACCTCAGGTTCTTCAATGCATGCCATCTAAAGAGGAGGGGGAAAATTTCAATTTGGTTCTACAGATCCGAAGTAAGTAAAATAATTCGGCCAATAAAAAACGAAAATAATAACAAAATTCGGCATTCTAGGACCGAAAATATTAATTTTGTTCGGAACTCTAAGACCGAAATAAATTAAAAAAATCGTAATTCTAGTTCCGAACTATTCATATTATTTCGGTATTTGATAACCGAATTAATTTAACAAATTCGGCACTGCGTTTCCGACTAAAAAACACAAAAAAATAAAATAAAATAAAATACTCCACGATTTTACCTTTTCAACACTGATTTTGCTGTCACCATTGCTTGAGTTGGAACTGTCATAGGTTTGCAACTCTTCCATATCAAAATCAAATAAAAATTGTTGAACTAATAATTAAACGATGTTAATAATTGAGTATAAACTTAAAGATTAAAGCAATAGAGGAGATGTTTTGTTTGCAAATAACAGAGAGGAGTACAGAGTGTGTAAGAAGCAAAGTGACTACAAAAGAAAAATTAGGGTTTAATTTTTTTGTTTCAAAAAGTGTATATTAAGATATTTTTATTTCTAAAAGATGTGTATAGAGAATTTGTATATATAATATTAGGAGTGTTGATCAATGGCTATTATAGTAATTTTTAATTAGGATATAATTGTCATTAATCTAATTTTTCATTAAGTGTGTTCACTGAGTTTATTAGGTTGGCGGAAATAGAATTTCCCTAAATAGGGGCCTTGGCCAAAATATTGGGGCTCAAAGCGGTTGGTTTCCCTACTTGCCCCTAGGGTTGACCTTCGCCAGAAATTATGCATTCTACCTTGGTTCCACGGAAGAAATGGTAAATTACTAATAGGTCTTAATAGTTAGATTTAATTCCAATTAAATTTTATCAAAAATAAGTTTTAGTAAAATCATCGTTAAGAATAATTTTTTGTGACGATTTTTTACATGTCATTAAAAATTAATAATTAGTAACTTTTTTTGTCACGATTTTTATAAATTGTCGTTAAAACTTATAATTAGTGACGTTTTTCTATGACAAATTTTTTTTTCAACTATCATTAAAACTTATAATTAGTGACATTTTTTTGTGATAAATTTTTTAAATTATCACTGAAAATTAACAATTAGTGATATTTTTTAATAGTATTTGATAAAAAATGCCATTAATTATTATACGACCTATTAGATAATAAATTTATTTATTAAGACCTACACGTAAATTTCCAAGAAAAAAAAGTGATTCAACACATTGAAGAGCTTCGATTGCGGTAGAGGAATCATGCCTTTGTTTCTAATCTTATAATATAATCACTCACATGTAGTTCAGACATTATCATAAGGTCCAATATGATCAAGAATGAAATCAAAACATCATGTCTACCCAAATTCCTTATCATAGCGTCATTTATGATCTCTAACACGAGACTATTCATGCATGCATGTTACAAAGGACCAAGGTCCAAATCTACCATGATTGTTGGAGGCATCCCTTGTTTAGGTCATCAATTAATGGTGGTTATGAACTTAAATTTGAAGATTTTTATTTGTAATTCCTTTAGGTAATCTTGAAATCTAGTGTTCCTTGGGTATAGATACTTTGTTTTGTTACTCGTGTGTTGATTCGTGCTAAGTCAAGGTTAAATTGTGTTTTTGTACGAAATCTACTCAATTTCTACTAAAAAATCTAAACAACATGAAGCAAGTGTTGACACTAGGTCTAGAAATGTTGATACTATGTCCTCTAGCAATCATCTTGTCCCTACTGGATTGTAGTGTTGACATTAGCATTGGAGGTGTAGGACACCAAGATTGAAGGTGCCAACACCACGCCTTCATGAAATCAGCAGTTTGTTATTTTGGATTGCAGTGCCAACACCATGCTTAGAGGTGTGGACACCAAATATGCATCATGACTCTTATTTCACTTATATTTTGACCTTGGACCTTATAGGAACCTTTCGGTATTCAATAAAGAGTTAAAAAGGCTATTGGTCTACATGAAACAATCTTAAGAAGGACCATCTTGAGGCCTAATAATATTTGGGCATAAAACATTTATCATTCTTGAGAATTGAATCATTCTCTTGGTTATTATGTGTATTTGTATGTATGACTTTGCATAAGGATTATCGGTACCGATTATAAACCGATGTGAGTAGTCTTATACTTTGTGCAATCCTTACATTCCAATTATAAAAAGGTAAGCTTTCTTTTGATAAATACTATCTTGAGACTATGAATTCAAGACTATGGCTTGGAATATGCACCTTATCTTGTTTTATGAATTGTGATCTCATGCTTATTGTTTGCTTATTTGTTTGAATTAATAAACATCTTGAATATCATCCTCGAATTATCCCAACTATGTGGGAACTCTTGGCAAGCTAATGACTTCCAGGATTTCTCACAACCCCTCTTATTTATTTTGAGACATCTCTCCTGTTTGCCCTAGTGGCTCTCATTACCCTAGTGGCTCTTTTTGCTACTTCGTAGCTCTTGTTGGGAGACTGGGTCGACACAACTTCATGTTTTTTCAAGATTTGCATAAGAATGAAAAAATGTTTGTATTGAACATTTTTACTTTCATGGAAAATTCTTGAAAATCTGCATGAAAACAATTATAGAGTTATTTCTTGATAGCTGTGCGTACTTGGGGTACCTTTATCCAATTCTTGTGCGTTAGTATAATTCTATTTACTAGGCTTTTAGGTCACCCCGTTGTTAATAAGCATTTCAAGTGCTAAGGCATAGACTGACGGCACTCACTTGGGTTATGTTTAGAGCACGGTGTTCCCATCTTGATATATTGTGTACTCTTATACTTAAAATGATAGTAATTGTATATCCGTGATAGGCAACTATAATGTACTTTGCAGTCAATAGATAATGTCTTAATTATTTAATTTTTAAAGGGCATATATGGGTTAATGCAATTTTTTATTTAGCTAATCTTGACACGTCTAGGGCTTTGGGTAGCGCAAGTTACTTAGTTGGTCATGACTAATGATATGGTTAGAAATTTGCGACTCAACACGATAATACGACTTGAACCGTATACAAAATTAATGGGTTTTTGGGAACAGATAAACAAAGTAGAACAGAAGCAAGCAAACAAAGGAGGTCGGATCACCCTTGGGTGGTCGATCAGCCGGTTGACCGACTGGTTGATCAGGGGGTGAAATCCTACCTAGTTTTGCTCACACAGAGAGCATACAAGTACAGTGATGCCATATGGATGAATCACGGAAAACTAACAAGAGAATTACGAAAGTGGATTGTGTTATGTGTGTGAAAAGAGGTAATAGAAAAAAAAAATCAAACAAATTGAGAAACCCCATAATGAAATAGAGAAAAAAAAATTTAATCACCACAAATTTTTTCTACTGGTCTTGGGAGGTTCCACTGTTGTGGGTTTTGATAGGGTTTTGGGAGAGATGCTTTTTTCGGGTGTGAGGGTGTGCATTTGAATGGGTGTAATATTTTTACAAGGATAATTTTTGTATTATTTGAGAGGAGAAAAGAAACTTTAAGAGTTTTAGGGTGTGTTTGGTTTGGTATTGAGAGATAAATTTTCAAAAAAAGATTTGGAAAGAGAGTTTAGAAATTTTTTTGGTTTGTTTGGTTGTATATTTTGAAAATAATTTTAGAGTATGAGAGTTTGGGATGATTTGATATTTTATTATAGTTGAGTAGATTTGTGTGAGAAAAAAAAGTGATTGATTGATGTGTAGGAGCGAGTGATTTTGAAATTTTTTTTTTTCCAAAATCACTACACTAAACAAAATTTTAAAAAAAATTCTCTAAAATTTGTTTTTCAAAAACAAACCAAACAAGGCCTTAAAATTTATGAGTGCGGGTTCAAAGAAATGAGAGATGTATAATATTTGATAGGACGCTAATAACAACACTTCTAAAGAGTATCAGGACATCTTTTAATCTTTTACCTAATTACATTCAATTTATTAAAATGTATGTAAAATATGATTTTAAATTTAGGCCTCGTTTGAGAATAGATTAATTTAGTAACTTTTTTGGCTATTTAGCTAAAATATGAATTAAAAAAAAAACTAACATGTTTGGGATGACTTTTTGGTTATTTACGAAAAGATGTGCAAAAAATAGAAAGAAAAAAGAATCTTTGACTTTTTTGTATGAGTTGTTGACTTTTTGACTAAACCGGCCTGTTGCTAAACGAGGCCTTAATATAGATTTTGTTTTTACTTTTAATTGAACATAATGTATTTTTTGTCTGTTATTTGAGTTAATCTAATAAAAAATATAATTTTTATAAATTAAAAAAATAAAATAAAGTTGAAATCAATTTTTTTTTTTATAAATTTTTTTATTTAATAGAAATTAGTTTTATTAAATTTAACTTGTGAAGAAATTTTTAAATTTTTTTCATAAATTTGATACGTTTAATAGATATTGAAATTTTTTGTATGACACGGTAAGACAATACGATCCGCATATAGACCAAAAATGATACGACAAGATAACAAGAAATAATAAATTGATCGAGTTAATATTAAAATAATTCTAATACAAATTCAAGATGACACGATACGAATACGATATTCGATGCGCACCCCAACTCACGCCAACCATTCCCTTGTTAGTGGAGTACGAATCGTAACACAAAAGACCTCTATACGCTTTTGCTACCATTTCTTTCACACAGTAATTCCTCTGCTGCTGCGTCTTCATTCTTTTTTTTCTTTTTATTTTTTTTCCCTTCATTTTTTAGAGATTTTCCATCACACCATTTCTTGAATCAAAACAAAAAACCAAATACAGTGGAAGAGATGCTGAACAACAACAACAACAACAATAATAATAGTGATCCAAAACCAAATGCTTTAGGATACAATACGTCTACAGTAATTCAAATGTGACAAGAGGAAGAAAGAAAAAAAAATATTAATAAAAAATAGCAGACTACTTGCATACAGCACCAAATGTGGGAGAAAGATAATATATTATTGAGAAATAACAAAAGACACCGAGAGAAGGAAGAAAACGAGAAGGGGAGGGGAAAAAGAAAAGAAACCAAATACATGATAGCAAGAAAAAAATTGAGTTCGACCAAAAATTTACAGGGACAGGGACAGACAGAGACCTCGACCGCGGCCTCAATTAAGCATGCAAGGATGCTATGGTGAGAGATTAAAATAAGATGGAAGACAGTTATTCTCTTCAGTACATGAATGAGTGAATGCTCCCCTTTCATTCGACCATCAAAAGTGAAATAAGAGCGAGTGTACATAACGTCCATGGAACCCACAAAAACAAAAACAAAAACAAAAACAAAACGAATTCCAGAAGGACAAGTACAGCTTTCATTTGTTATTGGTTGGGGCTCGACCAATAAGCCTGCATTGTTCAGGAAGTAAAGAAGACATGACTTGCCCATTGACAGCGAAAAGTTCTCCATCAATGCCACACCCATTCTGTGTGTGCTTTCCAGGCTTGATCTTCACTGACTTCACCTACATTGCAATAGAAACTTGAATTACGCAATGCCCTAATAACTATGCATTTTTTAAATTTTGTTTTATTTTTATTCTTTTATGATTCCCTTGTTCAACCACAAATGCATTGAACTGAGGTCCAAACCCAAAGTCAACATAAACATTTAGAAATATCAAATGCCTGCTCCCGTGGCCTGTAGAACTTTGAATCTAATTACATTGTCGTTGATCTTTTAATGTGCTTGTTTTGCAGATCATGACAATTCAATGTCCACAGTTTGCAGATCTGGAATTATTAATCCTAATTTCCCTCGCATCTTGGCAAAAGTGCAAAAGCATATTACCAGAATGGATTGCCAACAGGGAAAACAAAAAAAGCGAAGAGTTGTAATCATACCTTGACATAATCAACATACGGCAATTTAAGATGCCGACCCAATTGCAGAAGCAGGAAAAACCTCAACAGCCTCAGCCTACCACTTCCATGGACCAACAATAAATCCAAGGTGTTATCATCATGCTCTGCTTTTGGAGCCACCACCTGGGTCAAACTTTGAACAGTTTTGCATGAATGGTTGCAGACCAGGACACCAAGAAATTGACCTTTTGTAACGACCCAATTATCTTGCAGGCTAGGCACAACTTCCCTCCTGACTCCAGCTGCAACATCATCTGCTGATGGACCTGGCAATTCAATAGGATTTTCAACATCCCAGTTAGGCTCCGCATCCCACTTTGGTTCAGCATCCCAAATTGGACCGGGATCTGACATTGTTGATGAAATATCCTCTTTGTCATTTGTAGCTGTATTTCCCCAAGAACATCTAGTAGCATCATGTGTGGCTGTCAATCCAGTCCATCCTTTATCTGTTTTTGACTTCGATCTAGTCCTTGGCCAGTTAGGAGTTGCTGAAAGTGGTAGCTGAGGATGTATGACTTCTGGTTCTGCCGTTGCATTGCTCCTTGCAGATGATAGACGTTTAGATTTTGGGTCTAGGCCACGCACATACTCTGATGGCTCAGTGCTGGCATGGGTGCTACTACAGGTTGTATCTAACTCCCCTCCAGAAACTCGACTTGGGGTCATTATTGAATCAATACTTGATAGGCTAGAGGCCCTAGGAATGCCATCAGTATTTGATCTCCTCATAATGTCTGTATACAGGTCTGACAGGTCAACTATTTCACGGTCACCTGAGACTTTTCCCTCGCGATCAGTTGCCTCTTTTGATGCTGGAAGATATTCCACTTCAAAATTGTACTTCGGCAAGCATAAGAATTTGAGAAAACCAGCAACAAAATAACGCAGAGGACCAAAGCGCTTCTGATATTTCTCAGAAAGTTCCAACACTGCAACATATGGGAAATATATGAAGACATACAAAATTATTCCAAATTGTACAAGCACACAATGTGTATGCAGTGCATGTGTCGAGCAATATTAATTATATAATATATGGGTTGGGTTAATGCCCTAAGGGCACTGGTTAACAAAGTTTAAATTGCCGTTCAACCGCCCCAACTATCAAAAAACAAAATAATGAATCAATTTGCATAAGATGATTCACTACCTAATGTAGTATTTTCACATACAAAATAAAGCATTGCTTCTCTCATTATGTAATGAAGTGGTTTTGGTGAAACTTGAACAATATTTCTAAGTAAAATCTGTTTGTTACAAGATTTATTTATGTATTGAATACAAAAAAAAAAATTTTAAAAAAAGAATAGTCAATAATGACATTGCAGTTCAACAAAATGTAGCCTTCCACTGCATATCGACTAAAAAGCCCATCCATTGATCAGCTTGTACAAAATAGCTATATCCATGGAGAACCCATATCTAACCCAAAGGCGGCAATGGAGAAACAAATGATTAACTAACTCAGACTCCTTCCACACAAAGGTGAAATCGAAGCAGGCGCCGCCAACCCCCCCCCCCCCCCCCCCTCTCTTTTTTTTAATAGAATTCATACACATTAAAAAAGGAAAACAAAATCTAAAACAGTGCTATTAAAGAACAAGTAGAAAGATCTTATTGACAAACTACATGCACCTATGTTACATGAATTCAGGTATGGGTGTCAGGTTCATGTGCATATCTAAAGGTTGGGACCCATCAAACCTCAAATTTAAGGGTACACGAACTCAGCTAAAAAAATGTCATATTTTTAATCTATTATGAGAGATAAAATGGTGTTATATGTAGCATACTAAAAACGTAACAACTATCCTAACTACGTCAGATTCCAAATAAAATTCAAATAATTTTACTTGACTCTCACATCCAGCAATTATAGAATTTACCCAAGTACTGAAACCAACTACAACAATATAAATGTCTAGCAACATAATAAATTATAATAAATACAAATAAAGACTCAAAATTAATCCAAAACTATAATCCTTGATGCCCTAAACATGTTTCATATAAAATTCCAAATTTTCTATTTTTCTTCTTTCAATGATCTTTCATCACCATCTCTTTCATCCCCTTTCACTATCTCCCCTTCAGGGCATTTACCTGAACCCTAGCTTTAGAATTGTGTCGCACCTCTTCACAATATTGTTGTCCCTGCCATCGCGATCCTCGGCTCCTCACATCGACATTGCTACCACCCACCACTAAAGTGTCCAAGCTCTGAAACCGACAACTACGCACTATGATTTCTTGCAGAAGCTTATCCATGTCAACCTCTCACTGCTTGCAACTCATCCTTAGGCTGCTAGCTTTCATCGTCATTGGTGGGAAGGGTTGGACCACTAGCACATGGAGAAGATGACATGATTGTGGGTCAGCCTAGGATTGACTGGACCCGTATTGAACGACCCAGACTTGTATCACTTTATCCAACCCAAATTTGAATTATAAGACCCAGTTGGTGTTCTCTGTTGTTAAAGATTCTAGTTTCCTTTCCCTATTAGGGTTTAGTTTCCTATTTCATTATGGTTAATGGCTTACAAATATTACACTTTGCATTGTAATATTCGTAGTTGTTGTGTCCTTGTTTGAATAGGATTGTGGCCCTCGTGTTCTTCTTCTATCTCCTTTCTCCCTCTCTATTCTACATACTGTCCGTAGCCCAAAAATAGCCCACTTTCAGTCTCAAAACTATGCCCTACCAAACACATACTAACCCCAACCCTTTGATATTCTAGTTCAATCCCAAAACCACAAACTAGTTGCTGTCAATAAATTTCAGCAACCATAAACCTGACAATTCAGCAACTTCATAACATAACACCCAAAAACAAAGCCCATCCCAGCACTTTTGAATCCCCAAAGTCCATAGCCTTTCTTTTCTTATTAAACCATAAATCTACCAACTTTCATAAGCTAGGTCATAATAAAACCAATAGCAGACAGCAATATTCTAGATTTCTAGTGCTGCATTTGGCAAACACCCACACCATATAAGTGGAACACCCTTGGTGGCTTTTCTTCCCCACTCCCCTTTGAGTGCAACAACTAACGAACACCCACACCACACCAAACATTCAGAGAATCAAAAAACACAGATTTCTAGCCACCACGCTATGAATAAGGAGCTGATTGACAGATTCAGTGTTACTTGGAAGAAGATTTGCACCCCCAAATACCGTTCCATGGAAAAGAAACATCTATATGCACCACAAAGCTTTATTTTCGCCTCGAATCTACTAGATTTTTGTCCCAACTAAAGCAAAGCATCATCTCCCTCTCCAACATTTGGCAAAACATAAAGCAAACCAAGAAGGTCCACCAACTCCTCTACCTCTCAACCATTCAACTCATGGCGAAAAGCAATATGCCAACATCCCCCCTAAAAACCTAACTATCCCATACTCAAGATCTATGCAGCGCGAACACGAACACAGGTACAGGTACGAGTACAGGTACAGACAAGGACAAGGACACGGGACACGGCAATTTTCAAAAAATGAAGACATGAACACGACGGGGGAGACGGCAATTTTTATTTTATATATATATATATATGTATGTATTTTATTTGCTAACAAAAACTAACATAATAACACTAATTCAATAAATATCATATATAAATAAATACACATAAATTAAAATAGATATATATATAATTTATAAAGGCTATATATATAATATATAATATATAAATAAAAACCATTGAGCCGTGAAGACATACATGATACGCATCCTTTAAAAAATTTATGAACATATGAGTGATGTTGAGAAACAGATTATATATATATATATATGTCTATATATGTCACAGAGCTTGATCGAAGAGGGGAGAAATAGGGCTAGAGAGAGAGAGAGAGACAGAGAGAGAGAAGGCATCGCTCATCAAAGGTCGTCGTTGTTCATCGAGATTGAAGGCGAGAGAGAGAGACAGATAGAGATCGAAATCATCGTTCGTCGAGTTCATCGTCTCTTCTAGTTACGACAAATACTAGGTCACTCACTCCTTTCTTCTCTCCTCTCTCTTCTCTCTCCTTTTCTAATTTCCTTGCCATGTCCCGCCATGTTCCATGGCATGCCCTCATTTCCAACACCACTATGCCACTGAGTTTGCCGTGTCCATGCTTCATAGCTCAAGATAGTCTCTAATGGCCTTTAATAATTAATACTAGCAAGAGATTGGAAAGACACCTCCACCATCTCCTCCCCATACTAAAAATGACTCCAAAATTGCACATTTGTATCATGACAAAACAACAAACCTAGTGTGATTCCAAAGCTGCCCAACTCACGTGCTTTTCCTACCTGCCTAATTGCAAGACAAGTGCACAGGATGCAAAATGTGGAAAAGCTCTTGCAACTATTTCTATTTGCTCCAATGCTGTCTAATGAGAATGAGTGCCAGGGAAAAAAAAAAAAATTGGTTGCATCTCTTGCAACTATTTCTATTCGCCCCAATGTAGGTACTTGATTACGTGCCACGTGTCATATATACATTAGGAATGATGTGTCTTACATGTCGCTATATAGACATACATGTGTTAGTCCTCAAGGGACCCATGTACGATACACATGTTTGGTCACCCTGGCTTTGTAGATGGTTAATATCTAACAACACCACTATGAAGCTTGCAAGCTTATCATCCCCCAAGAGTCGAGCTATAGGCCATCTCACGACTGCGGTGTTCTTGTTGAGCATCTCACACCGAATTGGTCTTACTGTGCAAGCCTTGTTAAACCACATATCTCCTTACCATTGAACAATTGTCAAACCATGCCAGTACCTAGGCCAAGATGCATGTCTGGGAACGCCAAGTCTTTTAAGTATATACCTCATGACTAGCATCTTGTGGCTTGCTAGAAAGCTATGTTACATGGACTCTTTGATTTCCCCCACAGCAGCTGCATTCACTAGATATGACAAGGGTAAAGGTGTGGACATGAGTCTAACACCCGTGCCCAATTTAGAGACTTTAATCCTCTAACTTTTTATGATATATAAAGCATAAAAAATTCACATTTGCAAGTAAATAAATAGTTATAGCTGTAACATAGATGAGAGATGAAAATTCTATATTTTCTCTAAATTCTATTAAATTTCAAGTACCTTTCTACATAATTTATCTAAGAATGAGATACAAATACGAAATATATGTGTCCATGACAAGTCCCCATTCAAATCCAACTTTTTAATACATATCCCAATATCCTGAGATTTTAAGTGTACGAAGGTTTGACTCTTGGACGTATACACACACGCCTGATACTTGTACTAGAGTCCATGTAATATAGCTGGATAGAAACGAATGCTTTGCTATAGTGCTGTGAGCTGCCTTTGGCCAACCCACTGAGAGAGACCGTGCCATTGATTTCATGTACAATATCTCAAGGATCTAGGTAAATCCTCATAGAATTGTACGCTTTGGCATATTCTATCAAAATTCCAAAATATCCGAAAAGTTTGTTTCAGGTCATGTGGCCTCTCTCTCTCTCTCTCTCTCTCTCTCTCTACAGGCTACTTCATCTCTCACATGGACACCAGATGAAACCCTGACCCTAGTCAATATTACCTATAGTAATTAATTAACCTACGATAATTAAGTAAACTAATCAGCCTACACTTGCACCAACAATGAGAATTGCAAATCAGTGGAAAGAACTTAAAATAATTACAAAAACATGGAGATGCAGGTGGTGCAAGTAAAAACTATATATTTGAGTGGATCCTAAACATAAAAACAACAATGCACAGACACCTCTCTGGATGTCATGTTTTGGTGTCCGGCACGTGCTACAAACGGCCATGAGATGAAAACAATCTGAACATTTGTTAGGCATGTTCCTAATGCATTTGGAGAAAATGTCCCATTATTGTTTTTGGTTTTCAGTTGGACATGTTGGGAAAACGCTATGGACATGCTGGGGAAGTGTCCCATCCCCCCCCCACCCCCAAAACCAAAACAGCATACTCAAGGTTGATGAATTTGATGAGAATAAATAATTGCCATAGAATAAGTACATAATGATGTGAATAGTTTTGTTGTTGGTTTTAGTTGAAGCTAGCCTTTTTCATGATAGGCGGTTAGTCCTTCCATAACTTATTTTTGACATTTGAGAATTCTAAATTTCAAAGCATCTACTCTTATATCCCAATTTCCAATTTGAGAATATCTCTAGAAATCCATCTCTTTAATTTTGACTCCATTTTATAATACTTAAAAATATCACATATAATAAATGTATAAAATTATATTTTTTCATGCATGTTTTTCATGTGTCCACAACATGTCTCTTGCATTTTTTGAAAATTTACGTGTCCGCTTGTTCGTGTAGTGCCATGAGTCCACTTATCTGTGTCATGTCATGTGTGCATGCACATGCTTCTTAACACATAAATAACGAATATAAAAGAATGAATACCATAAAAAATAGTTCCTTTCATATATATTTGGCCATAAAATTAAATAGTTGTAGCATAGTGGTGTTCAATTCATTTCATTCATAATGGGTACGTTTGATCGTCATATTATTTTTGATGGCATTGGATATGAATATGGAGTCATTGATAGGATTGTGGGGCATGGTTATACCATAGGATTAGATGAGATAAAGATTGAATATATGGTTGGATAGAGTGAGTGAAGTATTATGTTTGGTTAGAATGAGATATAAACATAAGATTATTTTTGACCGCTGAGTGGAGGAAATAATCCTGAGAGGCCTAATCTCCTTAATACCACAATTCCTATGGCATTTCTTAATCCCCCAAATCAATATTAAAGTTATCTAGAGTTTTTCTAACATGCCAAACAAACGTCAGACTAAAAAATTATTTTTGTATCCAATCCCCCTTCCCTTATCTTGCAATCAAATGCAGGATTAAAAACCTGATGGGGCCCACATGTTCCACCACCTCTTATCCCCTCTCTTAATACTGTCAACAAAAGTAGGCAATAAGTATAATTAAAAAATCAGAGTCAGCAGTCCACTTCATCTAACCCATTTGCCTGTCTAGGTCACACTGGATTAGAACAGCTGAACTGGTTTTAATGCTACTCCTGCTACTCTGCATGTAGAGTTTGCAAGAAGGGCACTTCAATTATCCATGCCTCACCTCAAAGTGAGCAGCAATGAATGTACACAAGCACCCTCGTCCTATAGATTAGGTTGAGTGATTATAAATTGAACATTAAGAAAGCAAAAGAAATATAGTTCATAATCAACAACAGGACAGACTCCAATCACCTTGTTTTCTGATTGGAAACTAATGCACCTGAGTCACTAATTTGACAAAAATCAAAAGCAATGAATCACAAAGTATAAGTTACCATCACTAACAAAACCGAAGTACGAGACAGTCATCCCAAAGTGAATAACACCAGTTTCAATCCACTCAACAGCAAAAACATCTGTGGCCGTAAGGCCGCCCTGAAACCAGCAAAATCAACCAGGTATTAATAAGAACAAATCCTATAAGCAGAAAATATCATGGTTAAAGCTACACATACCAACATCGCAAGTAATGATACAAATTTAGAAAACTAAAGGAAAAACATTTCAAATTAATATAAATAGAAAATTTTATAAGCTCATAAAACTCCAATCATTTGTAAATTATCTTAATTTAATTTCTTTCACTTTCACTAATAATCATTTTATTGCATTCCACCTGTGTTTGTGAGCATTTAATCGAATCCAGTATCGTGCTAGGAGAAGGAAATTACATAGGGTTCCAACATAGTGGGAAGCAAATTGTAGCAATGAGCATTGGGGGCCTGAATCTCTGTGTATCTAGACTGGATTTTGTAGAGACAGAATACAGATATCTTGTTGGCATTTTGGATTTGAGTAATGATCCAAAGACCTTTCGTTTTGGGTCTACACTACTTTAAGGCTTTATATGGACATCTTTTTAGTGGGTTTCCATAATATTCATAAAAATGTAATCTACAACATTCCAATACTCTGGTAAAATTTATCTCATGGCCAATGAATGTAGTGCTGTTAAGGGTTAGCCACACAAATACTTATGATTTTTGTTAAGATCTTTTTCGACTAAACTTCTTTGTGCTATAATTTTTCATCAACTAAATTCAACCCAATCTTATATTTTTGCTTCCCCGGTGCCAATAGAGGTACCAAGATTTTTGGAATTTCACAACAAATATAGACCCTAAAAACTTTTGAAGAGAATGCATTCACTACCAGCAATGTTTTGTATTTGACAAATGTAAATAATTTCTATACAAAAGACATGCTGCATCGCAACTCGCCAGTGAGAGGTTACCAACAGTACCCACACTGCAGAAACAAGTGTAAATAGAGGACCCAGTCCAAGAGACGTATACTTAATTGATGGATGAGATAGGATACTTAGCACATTTCCAGAGGCGAGGGATCGCGATTGCTCAGGATTGACTGCCATCATGAGAGATCAATGGCCAATAGGTGCCAAATTGTTGATTCCATATTCCACAGAAAAGCAATCGCTAAGGATCATTTTGGGATCAATCACCCTAGTGGGAAAAGGCCTAATTAGACCTATTTTAGGTTTCTAATCCCCAGTCTTATCAATAGGACCCTAATACATTTTCAGGGTTTGAGCCTCATATTTTAAGCAGCCCAAAAAAGTTTTTGAGAGAGCTTTTGAGTATTCTTAATCTAATTAGTCTTTCAGATACTTTGTCAAAAACTATTAGCGGTAATTAAGTGTGATTAATTAAATCTGACTGAGATTAATTAAATTTAATGATGATTAGAAATTAGACTTGATTAATTAATACAAAGCATGGTTAATTAGTATAATGAATTAATGAAGTAGGGAGGTGAAGCACACACCTCAAGTTGATGACACACCACCCTTAGAGAACAAATGTCTTTCCTTGTAATAAAAAATAAGAAAATAGAGAGAGAACCTTGCTAGAAATTCTCAGAAATTGTTAGAAGAGAGAGATGAGATAGAAGAAGGAAAAAAAAAGAAGAGGAAGAAGAAGGAGAACAAGAGAACTTCAATTCTTGGACCAAAAATTTAGTAAACCATAAGATATGAATTTTCACCCTCTTTCACATGATATATATTTTAACCCACAAAAACATGATGCAGGTTGAGTTTGAATAGAGATTTGTGGAAGAGATGGAAGAAAAAGAAGCTGTAGTAGACAAGATTTGGTTGAAATCCACCGTTTTCCATAATTTAATCCTATGTTTTTGTATAGAATTATTAAACCATGTATCCCATATTATTCTTACTCATTTTATTGAAAATATCTTCTAATGATGCATTGAATTGAAGGTATGTTAAAGGAAATTTAGTTAGGAAAGAAATTGACTTGAATTGATGAAGAGCAAAATGAGCAGCTGTCACTACTTAGGCCATATCTCTCTATATATTTGGAATTTGGATGTGAAACCATAACCATTAAAAACTAGACTCTTGGGGCTTGAATTTAGGTTGAAGAATCGCCTAAAACCGAATCCGGATAAAGAAGATAAGCCCATTTGAAGTTAGACCACAAAGTCTGTTGCAGCAGCGGCCGCACGTGTGGCCAACCCCAAAATCAACACTGCATAAGCTCTGCACATGCAGCTAACAGGGTATTTGACCCGTTTTGCTTCTTTTTCACCCTTTCGACTCACCGGACCTCGTTTCACCTAATTGGAACTTGAAATGAACATAAATAAGACTTGAAAATTGACTAGAAAGAGTGCAGTCAAAAGAATGAATTGAACCTAAGCTAGCACACACTCAAATTAGAACCAAAAAGAGTAATGTTACATCGCTTTGGATCGTATTTCATTGAATGCTTGTATTGTACTTGTGTAGGTTAAGCACTTTGGAGGAAGTAACCCTTTGTCCAACAGCCATTTGTAAGTAGTAGTATAGTAAAATTATGTTTGTTAAACTATGATTTGAAATGCAAAACCTATGCTATGTTTATGAAAGTTATGCTAATGTTTCACCATGAATGAACATCATATACTCTTGTATCATGTATTAAGATGACGCCTTGGATCTTGTTTTGTTATTGGAAAATAATACCAATAACCTCTTGCTAACTGAGCTCCTCTTTCCACCTGTTGTGGATCTTAATGTTCTCAAAGCCCTTGGAATGTTCATCGCTATGTATATGCTTGCAAGTTAAGCTTTGTTTTATCATATACAAATTATGCCATGTTTAAACTATGATCTTGTGTTTGTTTTTATTAAAAAATCATTAGTGTTTATTCATTTGCAACTTTACTATATTACCATTCATGGGGCAATGGCTTACCCCTCCCTTATATATATGTAGGTGATGAAGAGTTCGATTACAAAGAGAAGTTTGAATAGAAGCCGGTCATGTATGTTTGTGCTAGATTTGTAAAGCCTTGTCATATGTGTTGTATTTTACTTTTGTCGTATAGATCATGTAATAATGCAAAGATAACAATCTAAAAAAAATGTATGCTTTCATTTCATATAGTTATGCATTGCTCTGAATGGATGTTTCAAATGGACTCAATATAAGCAAATAATGGCTTCCACACCTACAAATGGAAAATTTGCCCCAATTTTCTTTTGAGTCCAACTTGTTTTGAAAGTTAGGCATATGGTAGTCTGCGAATACTGGCCGATCACTACACTATCATGTTTAGGACAGGATGGGGTCGTGACACTCAATCTTTGGATACTTAGGCAAATTTATGTTCAATGTTTTCATAAAAACCTTCACACTTTGCATTACATGTCACTACATCATCTTAATGGTTGTTTGGGTAAGTCTTCGGAGTACAGAGATCAAAGCAAAGAGCTTCGTCGTGAACTACCAAATAAAAAAAGGTTGAACGGATCAGGTTGAGCTCGTCGAGCATGGAGAGAATTTCAGAGCTAGGTAGACTAGGGTATGGTTGTAATTCCATTTGTCTAAGTCCTATAAAGTTTTGATTTGTTTAGTGAATTGTTTGGAGTATTAGGATCATAGTTCGCCTACAACAATAATTATCAAGTTAGTATCAAGATGGTATCGTTTGAAGCTTTCTTTGGTAGACTGCATAGGTCACATATTTGTTAAATCGAGGTTGGAAATGCACCGATATTGGGGCAGAAATTCGTGCGAGAAAAACAGAGAAGATCGCTCTCATCCAATAGCGGTTGATTATCGTACAAAGCCAACAAAAGAGTTATCCGAACCGAAGTATACAACCGTTATTTGAGATCAGGAATCACATAATCTTGAAGATTTCACCAAGACAAGTTTAATGAGAACTAGGAGTAGCAAAAAACTTTCACCTAGGTTCATCAGGCCTTTTGATATCATTAGAAAGGTTTGAAAGGTAGCATACCATCTTGTATTACCGCTACAGTTATCAAGAGTTCATGATGTATTCCATGTTTCTATGTTGCAAAAGTATGAACCAGACCCTTCACACATGTTTGATTGGACACACTTGGAGGTTGATGAAGACACTTCGTACGAGGACTGACCAGTAGAGATTCTAGATTCATCGGAGCAAGTCATGCAAGGAATCACAGAGTTGAGAAAGCGACCTGGCAGCAACAAAGCAAAAGTTCGTTCTAAATTTCCCGACTTGTTTGAAGGTAGGTTAGTTACTGTTTTTCTTTTATTCTTGTATTAGTCGAATTTTATGGGTGAAATTCCCTAAGGTGGGGAGATTGTAGTGACTTAGGTCTTAAACCCGATTTTAATTTATTATTTGACAGTTGTCGTGTGGTATTTACATTGTTTTCGAAATATTACTGGTTTTGGGTCGACATGACTTGCTAAGTTGCTTATTTATTGTTTTCTGCTCCCGAGATTGTGAGGATTGTATTGAACCTCATTTACCATTTTAGTTGTTCTGTGATTGAGTTCTGGACTTGGAAATACGAAATTCAGACTTAGAATCGAAGTTTGAGAAGCACCCAGTAGGGGTGCTTTGCACGTGCAATGGACTTGGAAATGCGAAATTTAGACTTAGAATCGAAGTTTGAGGAAGAGCGCCCAGTAGGGGTGCTTCGCACATGCAGTGGGTTATGCCTGCACCTGCAGAATAAGACAAAGTTAGGTAGTGTGTTAAGGGTTAGTCAAATGGTTCGGGTTTTTGGTTAGCTCCGCTCTTGCGCTTTCGCTTGGACATCTGAAAGGGCTGTTGTTGTCGCCAACAAAGATTAGCCTGCAAATGTGGTGGAAGGAGCCGCACGTGCAGTGTAGGGGCTCCGCGCGTGCGATAGAGGGCAATTTTTCCTACGGGTTCATTTCTGCCACTATCCACATGTGGCTAGTAGGCTTCGCACATGCAACAGGCTGCTGGACGCAGCTAATGTAGTTGTTTCTTGGCCTTTTCTTTTTCTTTCCTCATATACACGGATGACTCCCCCCTTATTTCATTTCCAATCTCTCTCTCTCTCTCTCTCTCAATTTCAACACAAGATTGGACGTACTTTGGATTTCAGTCAAAGTTTGGTCTGAGAAGGAAAGTTGTAAAGCTTGTTGAGGTCTAC